GTCTTGGGTCCCGTCTCCAGGATACTCGATTGGGAGGAGCGCGGGGTCGATGATGACATTATAGTTCATCGGTTGAGGGAATTGGAGTGGCTCAATTCCCGGAGTATAGCCATTGGGAAGGGGGATATTCCCCAGCAGGTTATACTGGGGCTCCGACATGGCTGGGAAAGGTACCGGAACTGCTGGCGGGACTTCGTGACCACCATGTTGTTGGAACGGCTGGTGTTGCAACTCATCTGTGTGAGTGGCAACAGCCGTATCCGGGGGCAACGTGGTGGCAGGAGCAGATGGTTGCCCTTCTGGCTCCAGGCTTGTAACAGGAGGCGCAGGTGTGTTTTCCCTCGCCCTTGCCTGCTGCTTCTTGGCCCTCCTGCCTGTGCTCTTACCCGAACAATACTGGTAATTCGGGTTTTTCTTCTTATGCTCAAGACTATCCGTCTTGGCCTTGTCTTTCCAGTATTTTCGTTCTTCGGCAGAACAGGCCTTCCACATGGCGCTAGATTCCTTGGCTATCCAAAACGTTATGACGTTAGTATCAAGTTCTTATTTCATTAGAGACGAGAGTCAAGGAAGGGTTGAATTAACTTACAAACCTGTGCCCTTGAAGGTTTCCGACCTCCATTCTCTCTCTGGTATCTGGCAGAGATAGCGCCTTGTACTGCTTTTCGGTACAGCATGTAACAATTGGAAGGGCGCTTGATGTGCTCAGGTTCGGCTGCACTTCTCTGACTGGTGGTTGCGCTGCTGGATCGAGGCTCGTTGGAATCCTATTCCACGAGTTTCTCGCGATCCAGCAGCGCCACGCTTCCAGAAGAGGGTCGTGACGGCCGCTGCTGATGCTGCTGCTGCGAATCTTCGCTAGACGATGGTTGTTGAGGAGGAGGAGGAGAGGAAATGAGGGAAGCAAGGCGGTGGTCGGGGGACCTATTTATGTTAAAACCCTGCTCCACAAAATCTCTCTCAACGCCTAGGTAGATGCGGTCGTAGTTGCTTGAATCCTGGAAAAACTCCACTTGTCCTCCGAGAATGGCACTATAGTCGAATAACAATTAGCAATGTGATGATTGATTGATAGGGCGTCGACTTGACAATCCCTCATTGTAAATGGAAACGCAAACAGGGGGGGCAGGTTTGCAAGTTTGTGGAATGAATTCACATGAGACGATACATAGGATGAATGGTTTGGAATGGCTGCTTGCTTACCTTGCTCTTAGTTGGAAATACTGTTCACCACTCGGGCCCAGGCTGTCAAAGACCTCTCTGGAAAGCTTGATGTTGCGTGTATGACGGTCTATTTGAAGCACTGCTTGCGCCCAAGCATTGCTGTGATCAACGGGACTGGCCATCTTGATTGTAAAGGGGTTCTTGGATTTTGATGTCTTAAAGCCCGTAGAAACAAATTAACAAGCAAACTTGCTTTCGTTTTGCAGGTTAAAGTTACAAGATAGGGATTGCGTGCAAAGAACAGATGAAACTGAGGTTGCAAATTGATGATGTTTGTGCAAGAAGAGACAAAGTTGTTGTTGTTGTTGTTGCAAATGTAGAGTTGTACTTGTAAGTCGGCAAAGCAGGTAGAGAGAAAGAGAGAGAGCAGAAGAGGAGATTTTCAGGATGGGAATTAATTCTTAAGTGCCCACCTACTATAGGTACCTGTATCTGCTGTGTGGTAACAGATTCTACCTACATGTAGGCAGTTGGGATGTTGGATACATCCCCTAACAGACTGACTACATCCATAACCCATCGCACTGTATACATACGGTGGTGCATAGCATCGACCGTGTTGTTGGTGTTGATGACACTACAGTACCTTTTGTGATTTGAGAGCGTACCTACATCTACCTAGTCACAGAAGACTATTGTGATAGAGCCTTTGAATTCCGTGTGCCTGTAGAGCAGACCAACTGACCCACTTACATGTATTTCCATTGGTGAGGTGGAGGGCCAATAAACCTTCCAGGCTTTCTCAAGTTCCTAGCAGACGAGTAATAAGCTACATAAACTTCCTACATCTTAGTTCATGACCAATGCCAGGCTGTAAGCAAGGTGTGGTGGTGTTGCTCGGAGTAAGGACTGTCATCATTCATGACCTTCCCCCTATTTTGCATGATGGCGTAAGACTTCCATGACGCGCTGTCTATTTACTAGCATACAATAGCAGAGGGCTGTGCCATTCCCAATCCCTATGATTTTTGAACTTGAACAAGACCACTCAGGGTGCCCCTATTCAGGGTTGACTCCTGTAACTAAGATATAAGCTGATTGCAACTTTATTCTCAAGCTAAAAAGACTTGGAATGGATAGATAGGAGACCAAACAAATCTTTTCAGCGATTAGAAAGCCTTGAATTAGAGTAGATGCACTCCTATTCTTGCGCTGTCGTTGATATTGCTCTATTTTACCGCCTGCCGTTCTAGACTGCAAAGAGGATATGATTGGACAATCGCGGGTAGAGTTGTCGATTTAACCTACATGTAGGTACGTACCATTGGGCAGCGGAGTCTGTACATATTCCGCTTGTACCCCAATCGTGCGGTAGGGCCTGCCAGGGTTGCTACACAGACACCTGTTTGCATGTCACATGTACCTACCTCTACCAAATCAGGGACATAAGGTAGGTACAGACACCAGGTACGTGCCCTCTGATGTAGGGAACGCTGGTACTTCTACACTTGTACTCCCTTGTGCTTTCTTTGTTTGGTCAAGTCATCACTTGCAACTGAACCTAATTGTAGCCCCCCGCAGCCTATTTACTTGTATCATAATTCTTGTCAAGATTTCTAAACACCTTCTGTCATCATTCGAGTCTAGATGGCAGAGTCTAGGGATACTAGTTTACTTGAACACTTTTTTGGAATAGTATTATGTTGTTGGTTCCATACCTACTTACCCAATGTCCCCGCCGCCGTTGTTCCCTTTGATATCTACTTACCTACATTACTTTCTGCTGCGATTTGTGTCTGTTAACAATTGACACAGGGACACAAGATCACTCAAGACGATGGCAACAATTGTACTTTCTTAGAGAACCTCTTTCTTTCATTTCATATAAGCAACCCCCGAACAAACTAGGAGACCATGCTTGCCATATGGTCTAAATGTGTGGACAACCCGCTTCTCATTCCCGATCTCCCCGAAAATACTCTTTGCGACCAATGAAAAAAACAAACTTGGCAAGCAAAGGACTGTCACCATATCTGATAAGCCAGGCCTAGTCTATTGGGCACCCGGAGGGGGGGCAATTTGCAATTCACCGAGTTTGGGACGCATGCCGCCTACCGTGGTAAAGTATATAAAACTGTACGAGAATACTTCGGTCATAATCAAGCAGCTGCGGTGGTTTGTCAAAATCATTCAGTCAACTGTCTTGATCGGTCTGGTGGTCTAGTGGTATGATTCTCGCTTAGGGCTCACCCTACAGCAACGCTTGCGAGAGGTCCCGGGTTCAATCCCCGGCCAGACCCATTTTTTGCTTTATGTGTATATTTTTGACATCTGCACAGCACCTAGCAAAGATATAGAGAGGTAGGGCTTGCAACTTTTTATAGCCTTGTCTTTTGCATCGCTTTTCAAACGGGCCATACTGTTGGGTTTGATAGGTGTATTATGGTATGTTGAAGTGTTGGAGGGATACAGTGCCCTGACTGTAAAGGACCCTCTAATATAGCCTGATCCGTACCTTCCCCTACACACGGCCAAACCTCCCTCGCCATACGTCACCGACGAGGCGAAACCACCACACACAAACTACCAGAATACCTTCAAAATTATCATAATAACCTCGTTTCCATGCCCTTTCCGATTGCCTTCAAATATGACCACTCCATAAAGTCTCCTCTTCCTACCCAGGTCTCCCTTTACCCCCGGAAATACGTCGGACAGCAAAGGTTAGGGTAGAGTCTTATGCTGGAATTTTTTAAATTAAATCGAATTAAACCCGTTTCCGACATTGGTTATGATGAATTTGAGAAAATAAAAAGGTAGTGTATGTATGTAGTTTCTTAGTCTTCTCTACTCAAGCCGTTAGCGAGGAGGATCTGGGCCGTTGCAGGCATGTAGGTATGTCAGAATAGGTACTTGGCATGTAGGTTACTTCTTTTGATTCTAAAGGTATGTATGTCGTAGCGTGGCTAAAAGAACAGCGAAAGCAAAGGCGGCGGCGAGGTATGCACGCCGGTATGACCTTTGGAATTACATATTGAATATGTATAATTGACCTTGAATCTTAATGTGTAATGAGTACCGCGATGGGAAACCGCGCAGGTTCGAATCCTGCAGCTCTCACCATATGTTGGGGGTTGGATAGGTGTATTATGGTATGTTGAAGTGTTGGAGGGATACAGTGCCCTGACTGTAAAGGACCCTCTATTATAGCCATATCCGTACCTTCCCCTACAATACGATGCATTCCTACTAGTGTATCTATAGGGGTCAATGTTTGAGCTTCGAACATGGGCCCTGCTATTGGCCGAAACTCAAATGTCTATAATCCCCCCGGTCTCAAGAGGAAATCCGAGATCACACCTTTTAAGATCTGAGAACATGCTTTTGGTGCGGACAGAGGAGGATGTCGGGGGACACACATAGCTGCGAGAAGTTTGTCTCTTGCTATGGCTTGTCTTCTCGTGCCTCTGAATAGGTATCCGCCTGCGCCTAGGTACGATAACGAAACTGGTCACCGCAGGTGCTCTTTGGCAAAAGGAATCAGTGGTTCTAGAACCCGGCGTCCCAGGAGAAGCATTGAAGCCCGACTCTGTCTCGGTATCGCGGCATGCTGTCAAAATAGACGAGTGGAAAGAAGCTAGAGTAACGTAGGTACTTCCTACTAGCCTTGAAAGTGCCCAACACCCCACTCCCGCGCCGTTCAGCCCACATATATAGGGTAAGCGAAGCGCTAAAGGAGATCCATATCGTCCCCTCTAAAAGTTAAAAAAAAAAAAAAAAAAACGTTTGATACAGATGAGCATTACTCGCACAAGATGACCAGAAAGTAAAAAATATGACCTCGCTGGGGGTCGAACCCAGAATCTCTTGATAACTGTTTGAACTAATCCATCTTTCTTTTCAAGCTGGGAAGTTCTTCTCGTAGTCAAACGCCTTGCCATTGGGCCACGAGGCCTGATCACTTGCTGATGTAAAGGTCTTTGCTAACACCTTTTTTGTTCGCAGTGTACTTGGAAGTCGGAGAAGGAATGTCGAGGATAAAAGGTAAGTATTTTTGATCCAACATGTCGCCGTCACTTGTAGTTTGGAGTATCTGAGCTGGAATATTACGGATCGATCAGCTTGCGGCTGCACATAATCACCTACCAACCATACCTAGTGCGTGTTCAAGTGGTGCTGTCTGTATGGATCGTCTGGTTGAAGGGGGTGTCTACCTACCTTAGGTACTTGCTGCATCTCGCTACTTCAGAAACAACTTATTCCTCCGTGGCAGTACTATGAGTATACCTGCCACAAAGGAGTGATCCGCCGAGACAGGGTAGCCCCGTAAGCTATTGTTATATGTCCCGAATACTCTTCTACTTTACCTTGGTCCTTGAATGGTAGGTACCAGATGACGGTAAAAGAGACCAAACATGGATATTATCCTGATCGTCCTTTTTCCCAAGCTCACTCTAACAATAAGCAAATCCTTCCTCCCGGATCCATGAGTATACGCATCCCAATGCCACTCGACGCCCTTGACCGGTGAGATGCGGACTAACATCCCCGCCACCAGCCACTACCAACCAAAGTCGGGGGGGGGGGGGGGGGGGGGGGGGGGCAGAAACCGCGGAACAAAACCAAACACAAAAAAAAAAAAAAAAAAAAAAAACTAATGAAAAAAAAAAAACACAAACACACCGAAAGCACAGCCG